CCGCAATTACAAAGACGGCAGTATGATGGACTCCACCGTCCGGGAACTGTCTTGTCTATCGGCTTTGAGAGGCCATCCTAATATAGTGGAGACGCTGGACTGTTTTCTTCACGATGGCGAGATATCAACGCTCATGCCCTACCTCCCTTTAACGCTGTTTGAGGTGATCTACCAGGGTCGCTATCACTCGGGCCTGTTGCCGATTACGTTTATCAGCCGTTTCTCTCTGGAGATTGCCGACGCTCTGTCTTACATGCACGGGCTTAACATGATACACAGAGATCTGACACCCGCTAATGTGTTGCTCACAGCGGACACGCTAACCGTGAAGGTGGCAGATATGGGCCTTTCTAGGTATGCTGCGAAGTCCATGAGTTCTGGGTTGGTAACGGAGTCCTACAGAGCCCCGGAATTATTTGACACAAAGAAGGAGCGTATCGCGCAGTACACCTGCGCTATCGACATGTGGAGCCTGGGCGTGCTGATAGTAGATGCCATGGAGTCGACGATGACCTTTCACAGTAAAAACTTTCCAACGTATAAAATCATCAAGGAAACTCTCGGCCGCGACGACCACGACGAGGAGAGCATCTGGAATCCCATGCATGTAATGCCCACCCTGATGCGGTGTACGGCGGTGAAGAGAATCGCGTTGCCATTGCTGCAGTACGACCCGAAACGCAGACTAACTGCGCGGACGTTACTGGATGACAGTAGATGGAAACGGATCGCCACCGCGATCACCGATGTTGATATTGACCGTGTGAAACGTTACGCTGGCATTCAGCGCACAGCCTGTAAATCCCGCTAGTGTGCATTTATGTTGCGATGTGGGTACGCTCATATGTATGTGTATATGTTTGTGCGTTCATCCAATAAAGCATCTCACTCCCTTTGTCATTGTGCAGTCATGTTTTTTTTTTATTTGCGTGGAAGACAAGATTGTTATGCATACAACCAGAGTCCATATAATAACCAAATGTTGACACAGAGCAGACCCCAACAGCATCGTTGTTCATATGTAGAGACGCGCAAACAGCGGCAGGAGCAACACTTTTGCGTCGAGTCCTCCGTTGCGGCTGGCGTTGGAACAGCACACGTTGACTTTGTTGATCGTGGCTTCTATGCTGTCAACTGTGAACATATACCATGGTAACTAACACGTAGTTTATATATTACACACATACACACACACACACACACACACGTGTGGCATTCGGCTGGCTTACGTTTGGCTAATATGGCGTACAGCTGCACCTTGGTGGTGTCCACGGGCTGCAGGGGGTCCAATTTGGGTATGTCAATGCGGTAGTCGTCGTCTGTGCACACTAAGGATGAAAAGAGTGCATTGTTTTTCACTTGAAACCAAATACAACAACCGCGGCGATATCGCGATATCGCAGCGGGGCATATGTGCGTACTACGTACAGCGAGTGGTAGTCTGCGGTGTCATGTGCTCGGGTTCCTCTGCCGTGCTCCCAGTGGCAGGATCATCGATTGGATCAGCGTCGTCCGGATTAGCGTCGAGAGACCGACTGACTTGCGAACAGGACTGATCCGCTTCAGCACTTCGCCGTGTGTACATGAAATACTTGTAGTTTACATTGCCGCGCCCCACAAACGTCGTACCGTTCGGGGTTATAAAACAGCCACCGGTCAGCCTTTGTGTTGGGCTCATAGTGTGGTTCCATATCTCTATTACACGCCAGATGTCGGGAGTCTCAACGTGAAACGTGTAAATTGCGCCGACTCCATCTAGCGGAGTGATAACTGCTGTGCTGTCCGTTACGCTACACGGCGTCCTTCCCGTTCCACAGCGCGCCTTTGACGTGTA